CTCAGTTTCAGTGTAAAACACAGAGAATCAAAGAAAAATCACCTCAATGTAAAGTGTTTTAACCCTGTTTTCAAGCTATAGTAAATAAATTACAAACAAAAGCTAGAGCTACATAGGAAAGGTGTAGATCAGAGACTGACAATGTGTCAACGTTGGGACATTTATAACCCTTGAACTGACTTTCTATGCCCCCCATTACAGATACAAAATTAGCGCTGCAGCTATGATTGTCAATGCTGATGGAAACTTTTATTTTATTCACTGGACCAATTTTCTAACTGCATGCCTTTCTTTTAAAAAGGCAAACCCATTCTACATTTTGGATCTTTGTTGATTTCAATATTGCTTTCTAACAAATCACAACCAGTTAATTTATTTAACTAAAATGTTGTATTTTGAGTTATTGAGAAGGTAATTAACAGAAAAAAAAATACATTATGTTTTATGTTTCCATTTCAGTACAAGAAATAATTCTTTAGAGTGGGTGTACTTTTAATCTGATGTTTTTCTCCCACATAATATAAAGTCAGGACACAGCTGGTTTATATATTCCCATTTAGTCTGACTGAGCTTTCCATCTCAAGATGTGCAAAGTTGTTCAAATCAAATACGCAAAACACTTGCAATTCTTTCTACAGCAACATGTGGTTCTCCAAAGCAATGGTTCCTGGGCACAGGACACTAATGGACAACAAAACTGTATGTCAGGTTTTTTATGCATCGAGCAACAAATAGCGTATTTATTACAACAAACAAATAAATAAACATATATAAAAGGGTAACCGCTGATCAGTTTACTTGTGTGTAAAATTCCTCATCCTGGCTGTTCAGTTTTAGAAACTGAGGTTGGTTAAACCAGCAGGAAACAACACAAAGTTATTCATTAGTGTGGGAGCTCACAAGATGATCCCTATGTTAGTTGCAGCCCCCAGCATGCCAAACACATCATGACTGACACTGCAGAAGGATTTAACTGGGTTTTTTAAGTGTATATAGAAACCCTTAAATACACAATGCTTGAGGTACAAAGAACAGCAGTCAAGCAGTTTACTTTTTCAGAAATTCTCCTAATAAGAATAATTTAGATGAAGCATTACTTTTCAATGTTGTAAACTCTCTTTTTTTAAGAAACAGAGAGTTACAATTCAGCTGATTCACATGGGCTTTTAACAGGAGCCTCTCAGGGGGTTTCCTGGCGACAGTAGTCCTGTCTATGCTAACCTTAAAATGTCCCCCAATTATGCATGGTGAGTTTGCTGCACTCCCTCTTGCTGTTTATTTGAAAATCTCTGCTTGGTCTCATGACATTGATTTATACCAATCCTTCTTTTCCCCCCCTCTACTTTTGTCCTTTATTCTCAGATTATTAGAACAGAGGATATCATAGACCTGACAAAAATCTACTTCCAAACTACATTTTATTTTTACAAAAACTAAATCTCATAAAATGGGCAGAAACAAGCACATTTGTTTGCAATTTCCTATGTTGACTGAGGGTTTATGGGCTTTATTCAAATAATAGAAGGTGTTTTCCTGTCATAAAAGCTGAGCAGACAACGTGCAGTTAAGGCAAAGCAATTAGGCTTCATGATTTACTTTGCCTGCTTTAATAGGAAAGTGAGTGCCGCCCAGATGGAGGTCATGGTTCTTAACCTCACTCCTCAGCTACCGAATTAATCAGTTTGGAACATGTGTTGAAAAACAACACTAAGTGGATCGTGCAGGTTTTATTGTAACAACAGACTTCTCTCTATGTGCAAAAACCAATGCTAATAGATGGCAAACTAATGAACTTCCATGAGCAGCTTTAAAATCACAGAGAGGGATTGGCTTATGTCAGATTTTCATAGCATAAAGACTTTAAGTGACAAATACCAAAGTTTCATAATATTGACACGTAATTTCATAATAAACCCTTGTTTATTGATATTGCGGATTTACTGGAAAACATTGAAATAAAAATACAGGATTTATACCCTCTACATAAAATACCTTTTTGGGTTGTATACAGCAATACATGCAGTATGTCAAGCTGATATTTGCTGGTTATTTAGCCTGACTTACAAGTAGCCAGCCTGCAGATGGCCATTAAACACTGCTTTGCCAATTTTAACAATGTTGGGTAGTTTTCTTCTGCTGGCAGGGTCCAGGGTTGCTCTACTCAATTATATTGGTCCCTCCAGAACTTTCTCTGTGATCTTACTGAAATTATTAATATGTGGTTTTAAAGCTTTTTAAATCCTGCATACACCTTCATAACAGTAAACAACCCATGGTTTGAAGTCCTTTTATTGAGATGATGATGAAACTGCTTGATTAATGTGCATCTCCACCAGATGAATGTAGCAAGTAATAAAGCACAATTACCCCTCACACACCTGTTGCCGTGCAAGGGTGGTTAGTTTACTTAAAAAAAGCGAGTACACTTATTCGTTGCTTACAAGAATTAAAATTCAAATGAAATATTAATAGTCACAAATAAATGTACATAGTCAAGGTGAATACTAATAGCCCTCTAATTGCTCTAAGCAAATATTGTTTGAAAACCTTGATTGCATGTCTGTTAAGCAGCCAGCTGCAGGCTAGCCACATGTGCACAAAATATCAAAATGTCATAACGTGAAATAAGCACATATATAAGATAGCTATCAAATGTAGCAGATTCTAATAAAATTTTTACTTTAGTCTAAATTAGTGAGAAGAAATATATATATTTTTTGAAGGATTAGGAATGATGTATTGCTAGATTAACATTTTTAAGTAAATTCCTCAATACGAGGGGGATCTGTCTTCATGATTTGCTGCATTAGGGCTGCAGCTTGGAGGCAAACTTAAGCAAAAAGGGAAAATCAAACCGAACCTAACACATCAAGGTTGCATAAGGGAAAGTGCAGAAAGCTTGCGAAGCTAAGAACAATACGGGCCTCTCAAAAAGCAATTAAGGGAGAGAGAGTCATATTATTGAATGGAAAGCAGGGAGTATTCCTCTGAGAGACAGCAGCAGTAGACTGTGAAATTCATATTGACTGGAGAGGCAAACAGACTCAGGTAAGGAGCAGAGTAAAGCTTTTTTTCCTTCTTTGGTCCTCCACTGTAGTCTGCTGTTTCTTTCAGATATAATCAGGATGAGTTCAGACATCAACCAATACTGCAAATCCTTTAATCAGACGCCTTCTAGATTAAAGCGAAAAGGACAATTGGACCCTCCCCTGAAAGATAAACACTGCATTAAGCGGAAATAATATCTGGACATTTTTTTCCTAATTCTGCTGAGCTCTGGATGTGGGCTCACTGAAGTGTTAAATCCCACTTGATTAAAGCAGGAAAACGCCTTTAACAATGAACCATGCCAGTCCACTTAATTAAGTCAACTTGCGCTACCGAGGGAGCGCTGGGAACGGAGAGCAAAGCAAACAGGGTGCTCCTGCTTTTTGCTCTGGATGCTAATCAAAAGCTAGATCTGCGAGCAGGATGGGGCCCCGGGGACAACGCTCTGCTCGACGGAACCCAGCAGTTTGCTCTTGATAATGCCGCCTTTCGCTCTGGCATCCCTTAAAAATCCCAAAGAAACCATCTTTTCTAATCTGGGCATCCAGTGAAACACACACCCGCTCTGACATAGAGTACACATTTGCCTGACCCAGAAAGAAACACATAGGGCCCAGCAGGTCATTGCACACTCCTTGCTGTCCCGTCAACCTTTGTTGTACAAATTCTGGGTTGTGCAAGGGTACTGTATTTAATCAAGAAAAACAATAGTCATGAATATTCTTTGAAGGAGAGAATTCGGGATACAGAACCCCTTTTGTCCCTGCTCAGTCACTGTTTGTGTCTTTTAATTGTGTAATATAAGCCATTGGAAGCATCTGGTGGTTATTACAGAGCCTGAGGTCTGAGAGGGAGGGGGACAGATGATGGGGCGGGGGGCATACAGGAATTTCATGATTTGTTTGCGGTCTTCTCAGTGTTACTCTGGTGAGGCGTTACACACTCTTCCGGTGCAAAACTCCTCCCAACTTATTAAAGCCAAAGTCTCTGTAGTTAGGAAATGGTCATATGGCTAATTATTCAACCAGCTACAAGTTGGCAAAGCATGAAAAAAATATTGCATACTACAAATTGATTTATCTTTTTTACATTTTATTATTTTTACAACAGCAAATTCCAATGTATCTAATTGCGAATTTTGTTTTAGAGACAAACCCCTAAGTAGTGCAAGTAAAGGAAAATAAAAAACAGATAAAAATAATTTCTCTAAAAGTTTAACATGCATTTGTATTCAACTTTCTTTACTCTGAAGCCTCTAAATAAAACACAGTAAAACAAGTTTTCTTCAGAACCAAAGAGGAGCACAGAGATTTTTAGAGCAGACCTAGGTTCCACAACTATAATCAAAGCTCTGACCATCTCACACTCTCATCATTCATCTGGACATGCAAAGTGTATGAAAAATGTCTAACCTCACCAAGACATGGCTATTTATCTACAATCAAAGGCTGATGAGGAGAGCAGCAATGAGAGTCGCATATATGAGGTACGTGGTTATTTGGAGAAGCCGAGATCCACATCTCACGTGGCAAGATCTGCTGTAGTACAGCTTTTATTCATCCAAACATTTACGTTTTGGTGGATACAAAACAGCCAGCGAAAGGGTGTCCAAATGCAGAACTAAAAAGTTGTAGAAGACCAGAACTGCACAAAACTAAAAGACTGAAACACAATGGTGGTACCGTCATACTCGGAATGCTTTTCTTCAGAAGTTGTACTTAGTTTGGTCAGTATACACTGAAAATCTACTTTTTAATCTTAATACTGAAAGAAATTCTAAAACTGTAAATGTTCTTTCACCTTACAGATATCAATTACTTAATATTTTATAACTCCCATAACATCTGTAATTGTCAGGTAACAGAATGTATAAGATTTATCAATTATAAAAATGTTTCTATGGCTATGTATCTAAAGCAAGCACATGTGGAGAAAAAACTCTCAGTTCTAACCTTTAAAGGAGATGAAGACTCGAGGAGCAGCAACCACTTCATTGCTGCTGATTGTATTCCCCGAGGTCAAGCTGGACAGTCCCAGGAGGATGAGCAGGGTCCACATAGCATCCAGCTTCATGTTGAAGAAAACCTCCAACAGCCCCCTTTTTCTTAAAATCTGCAGAGACAAACACACAAACGGGTGAAAAGAAGATACTGGTGCAAATGTTTCATAAAAGTAAAAAAACAAAACATCATAGACAGAAAGTCTGGTTTCATTTATCAATTTATGCGACGTGTCAAACCAGCGGTTCCCAAGGGCCCCATGACTGTTGTTTAGGGCAGCAGTGAGAGCTGAGGTGCAGGAATAACGCCCAGATTTTCTTCAAGGCACCATAAAAACTGATGAGCCCTGACAAAGAGGAGCCAAGTTTTTAGCGATGTGCACAGGCTTCCATTTGGGAAAAATTATGTTTGTTTTCCAGAGTGTGACAAACTGGAGGAGAGAGTGTGCCAACTCTCCTGGGAGAAGCCCTTTTCTCCTGCTTCAACCAGAAGACATTCCTACCTCATGACAGCACACGTGTGCTGCTGCTCCTGCCCTGTGATTAAGAATTCACCTAATGTCAGGTTATGACTATACTCACCCCATAGATATAAAATAAAATATTCTGACTAGTGCAATTTGGACGATAAATCTCAATTGTTGCAAAAAGAATTTGTTAGGTGTTTATAAATGATGAAAGCATTTACTCGAGCAGCTTCACATTCTTGAAAACAATGCAGAGGGAGCATCCATCTTAAGTGAATGATTAATGGACACCAGGGGTAATTGCTGATGATTCATAAATCATAAATCAACAGAAAGACCTCATTCCTCTCACTGATTACACTTTTTAAGGGCTGGGGCAAATTGGGTTCATCCAGCCCCCCCCCCAACTATTTGGACCCACCTTCATAAAGATCCTCAGAGGTCTATGAGCCCATGGCCAATTTATGAGCATGCTGCAGCTGTTTAAACCTCAACTGTTTACAGACAATTTGTTAACCGTCCAGCTGTTTATTCTGAGACAGAGGCCAAGTCTTTATGTGCACAAGCACACAACATCAAACAAGCCCCAGCACTGAAACGACATTGTGGCTTGTGAGAAGTACACACTTGTGTATTATACTGCAGACACAACAATCAATCAGCACCAGATCAGAATCAGCTATTTTGGATCAGCTCACCAAAAATACAAAATATCACCACTAAAAACTCCCAACATTCTCTGTCTCTAAATGAAATAACAGGCATTTTCTTGCATATTGTTTAGTTTATTAAAAAAACAGTTATACAGAAGGTAAATGAGAGTTGTTTAATCATTTTTCTAGAAACCTGTAGCGCATTTTTTTTTTTCATTTAATGTATCTTAAACTGCAGAAAAAAATCTGACTTAAACCTTAAAAAAAATCATAAATCCCAAAAGCCTAATCAGTGCTCATCCTTGGGATCCACGCACTTGGAAAACAGACTCTTAAGTTTACAAAAGGCACATTTCAGGATTAATTTGTCATATGGATGTTGACAAGTGTTTCCTTTTCTCATTAAAATAAGCAAAATGATTATTTATTCAGAAGATTGGTTAACGGATAATTCAAAGCATGTAGGTTGCAAATGAAAACAGAAAAGAACAGAGAAATCTAGGCGGGATATTTCAGTGTTCCCGAGAAATAAAAGCTGTAGACTGAAATCAGTGTGTGACAGACTGGAAGCCTTGGCTACACTTGGGAGGCAGAACTGTAAACAGTCTGGTGAGGAATTAGGGCGCACAATAAACTGCTTAGCTGTTAAACAAATATTAGGAATTTATCGAAGAGGAATTAATTCAGAAATAGGCTACATCTTAATGCTTTTCACCAATTTAAACGTTTGATTTTTAAATAAAATTTTGAGAGAAAAAAACACTGACAAGATCACGAAATGGTTAACAAATCTGGCAGTTTATTATTATTATTATTATTATTATTATTATTATTTATATAATACTTAAGAGTATAACCATTAAAAAAATAGTGAGTAGAAGTAAAATCAGTCTTACCTCAGAGCTTTCCGTAATCCAAGTTCAGATCCAACCCTGCAAGCCACTGGAAAAACCAATCCCAACAGATCGATCACTCTGTGTGTGTTTCTCTCTAAGCTGAAATCAATAATAATAGAAAATCCCTGCGCGACTCTTCAGCAGTCAGTGTTCAGCTCAGGGCTGCGGTGCAGGGGCCGTCTGAGTACCTGCGCACAGAGCGCGTGTGTTGGCCCCGGAGTTGACAGTGATCAGTCAGGCAAAGAGAAAATACAATGTTCCCCTAATTATTAATTGTCCAGCAGTGTGAGGCCAAAACATGCTCTCCTCGCACGAGCGCAGCCAACATCTCGTGGGAGAAGTGGAAAAGAAAAACAAGCAGAAAGGAAAACAAGAAGAAGTCTCCGCAGTGTGAGATAAGGTCCGAGAGCGCGCGCGACGCGTGCTGCTGCCCTGAAAAGTTAGGAGCTCCTGTGACTGTGGAGAGAGGCAGGGCGCTAGCAGGTGGATGCGGAGGCCGTTTGCCTTGAACACACCCACGGGGCGGGCTGGAGCGAGCCGAGCCGCCCCTCGGTCTCCGTCAGCCGGGGAGCTATGATTCACCGCCGCAGCCCTCCATGTGCGGGCAGGGAGCGACGATGCTCAGGTCCGGTCTCTCCACCTGTGGAATCTAATCCTGTTGATCTGATACTGCTGTCTACTTCAAGAGATATAAGAGATTCATACATCTAAAGATTGCACAGTATTAGAATAAAATGTAATAATTTTTTTTATTTTTTTTTTCTTTACTCTTAAATAGAAAAGCAAACATTGTTTTGATAACATTAAAATCATTGATTATTTTGGTTATATTCTTCATTGTTATTTGGACTTATCTACATTGGCATAGAATATAAATGTTCTAAATGCAGTAATTTTCTATCATGTTCTTCAAAGCGAAAAGAATGAAAGAGCTCTTACCTCAATAATTAGTAAGTATATCTTCTCTAACTTGACTTCTTTACAGATAAGCATTGTTTTTTGTTTTGTTTTTCTGCTGGGGGGTAAAAATCAGCCCTTCCTTTAAAAAGGAAATGTGTTTTGATTGACAGACTTTGAAAGTAAGAAACACATATAAATAAAAGGAAGCCTATACATGAAAAAAAAAAAAAAATGACTCAAATAAAAAGTTTAAAGCACACTTTAACTCTGAGGGTTTTTGTGGCCACTTCTCTCTTAATCTGCAGTTTGTAATGGGTGACATCCATGGAAGAAGACTCTACCTATTAAAAAAAAAACATTTTGTAAAATCTTTGATTTAAGGGAAAGAAAAGCGAAAACCTGGAGGAAGAGGAATTTGACACTGGCCATGTGGAGAGTTGGCAAAGGCATCATAAGAAAGGGGGTTGCACAAGCACCATATAAAAAAGATATAACACATAACTTATTTAGGTTTACTCTTCATCCTTAAAATGTTTTCCGTGCTACTGGATATTGGTCCTTGTTAAGTTGCAGACATGGACAGTTACACGTTTTTTAAACCAAACTCGAACCCCATGGGATGAGACGTACTGTAAGCTATCCTGTGTTCTTTGAACTGAAGTGTCTAGGTGTATACTCTTAGTTATGCACACCTTGGAAATCCAATGAAATTATTCCTTCATAAATCATAGAGAAAAACATCTTTGTTTAACATTCACTTGTTTATGAGGTGGATAGGTTTTATTCTTGTGGTTGTTTTATATGTAAGAAAGTATTTTCTCAGTTGTCATTATATACATTTACATTTTATATACATTTATATACATACTATCGATACAAAACATTAAATTCAATTCAGTTTATCCATTTAATGCCAATTCACTTGCACAATGCACTTTACAGAGACAAATTACCCAGATCATACAGTCAGATCTCCTCTGTTTTTTAAACAACTATGTAAAATTAAGTTAAATTTGAACTACCTTTTGCATGTGATCACTATGCATAGTATAGACACAGTCAACACATTTAACAAAGAGCCTCCCTATCACTTGATAAATCATTCAATAAATCCTTGATTATAATCTCAAATTTGAGCTAAGGACTCTGCTGTTGCTAGTTCTGCCTTCAGTGACCCTTCCTATGCATTAACGGCAGAGTTTTCTGAGCTTAACTACAGCATTTGGAACTTTTCCATGTTAATGTAGACTGCTTCTGCCTCAGTCTTTTTCCATGTTTGTTTTTGGTCCGTGCAATGAATTTATCTTTCTTAACTTCAAGCTTGCATACAATTATAAAGTTTCAGGAATGTTTTCTGTTATGTATACATGTTCTTTTTAAACCTTAATAATACCTGCCTGTTACATCTTAGGGCTTATGTTTTCCCCTGCAGTTCATCTAATTAAGACAGTTCTTCAGTCAGGATAAAAGTTATCATCTTCAATATGTTCATAACAAAGATTTGGAAAAGAAATGTGGGCACAGACAGAGTGAATAATTCTTAACTCTTTCACTGTGCATTTGGAATGGATTTAGAACACTGTGTGTTATCTTGATATGGCTGGAGCCATTGATGTCTCCTTATTTACAAACGTGTATGATGTAATGATCTGACATGTGTTGATGTGGCAGGGGGGAGACCCTGAGGAGGTATAAGATGCTTTTTCAGCTGTTATTCTGGGCCGAATTTCTGAAGAAGTGAGCCCGGTGGTAAGCGCTGCCATTTGTAAACTGAGCAATTTCTCTGGTTAGAGTAAGATTACAGTTTCTGTCTAAATCTGTTGTCATGTTTTTTTTTCAGTCATTTAATACATGATCCACATAAAGTATTTATTAAAGTGTTTGTTTCGAGTGATCTCTTCTGAGGAAAGGACCGTGAGAAAAAGCTTAAAGATGTAAAACAGAGCTTTCTGTTACAACAGGAACAGTGGTTGAAATAATGATGCCAACCCTTTGATAATACTGGTGTTTGACAGTTCTTAACTTGCCATACACTGCTATCCCTTTTACAGGAATTTTCTTTTACAGGATTTTTTCACAGTCAAACATGTCTTTGTTGTAGCAAGGGCAAGAATCCTTCTTTCACCCAAGAGGGTGAGCAATGTTTGACTGCTTACTTTTTGTTCCATTTCCAGCATCTCACTGAAAGGGCTCAAAACAGAAGGAAATGATGAAAGATTTTACAACATATTATACCTTGATACTGGTGCCACTGTTGGATTCTTGTATTAGTATTTCCTTTAGTGAAAATATTGCAATTACAGGGAAGAAAAATATCAGGCCACAAAAAAAAAAAAAGGAATATGGTGTACATTGGCATGACACAGACTGGCAACCTGTCTAAGGTGTAACCCATCTTTTGCCCACATACTGCTAGAGATAAGCACCGGCCCTACCACGACCCCGACGGAATGAGTGGGAGAAGATGGATGGATGGATGGATGGATGGATGGATGGATGGATGGATGGATGGATGGATGGATGGATGGATGGATGGATGGATGGATGGAT